CAAAATCTCAAATCGTTTTAGACCCTAGAGTAAGAACTGCTCTAATCCTGCCCTGAGCCCAGAACTGCCTCTAATCTCGGCAAGTCTGGGCCTGATTAGAAACTTCCTCTGCTTCCTTTTACCTTAGATGGCTTTTTACTACCAAGTCTTAAATGTGTATCATTAGCAACACTGTTTAGCCATTTATAGGTTCAATGGAATTTTTTTGAATGACTGGATAGGGACCTAATCACTGTCTAGGAAATAAAAGGTTCTAAATGTCAAACAAGTAATTCAGTTATTTAGTAAGTTGGAATCAGGTCTACATCAATAATTCAGAGTTTCTGGCTGCCTCATCCTGACTTAACATTTGAAATGGTTTCAGATGGGCTCCACTGCAGTGTAGAATGATTAGTAGTTTCATAAACTGAAGTTAATTGTTTTAAAATAATTGTATGAAAAATAATTCAGGATATTTTTCTCAATTTGTCCATTTGTTTTAGTGTGCTATAACTTTAAAACATTTAAGAGAAAGATGGCATTTTGTAAGAAAAAATTTTGCTTAAGGTATTATTACTGTACTATATTTGAAGTAGAAATGTCTAGAATTTTGACATTAAGAGCACTGAATGATCCATTTATCCTTTGAGGTTTATTGGTATATGAACTTTTCTCAAGAATAATTAAAGCTGAATTACTCTTATATACAGCCTTTCTCAACCGAAGTTCCTCATCTGGACCCCAAAACACAGAAAACTGAGTAATTATTTTCTCAATTCTCCCAAGTTTGGTACATGACTAGTATCATTCTAGATGCATGGGGAGCAGTTAATTCTTTACATCAGTAGATGCCTTAAGGCAGGGGTCTTCACAGCTGGGCCAAGGATAGTTTTACATTTTTAAATGGTTGAGAAAAAAATCAAGAGTAGTATTTCTTGATGTGTGAAAATTATATGAAATTTGAATTTTATTGTTCTAATAAGTTATAACTTATAAACTTACAAAATGAGTTTTATTGAAACACAGCCACACCCACTCGTTGATGTGTTGTCTGGCTGCTGTCCCACTACGGCTGTGGAGCTGGGCCATTGAGACAGAGCCCACATGGCCCCCAAAGCCGAAAACACTTAACGTTCTGGCCCCTTACAGACAAAGTTGGCTGACACTGCCTTAGGGCATTAGGGCTTACACCTCTTGCTGGACTGGTTGAGAAAGTTTTTGACTACAGGGAGAATTACACTGTTTGAATTTTTTCGATGGTTTATTCAGAAAATTTGTTTAATTTTCAACATCATACCAATGCTTGTCTTTCAGATTATGCCTTCCCGTATATTATATTAGTATTATCTTTGGTTACTTTGGCTGTATACATGTCGGCTTCTGAAATAGAGGTAGGAAATCTTTTTTCCTTTGTTAAAGATATTTTTATAGATTTGACAATTGAATAGGAGAATAGTACATCTGATATGTGGTACAACGAACTGTTTTAGTAATCCTTGGCTAAATGATGTGACTCAGTAGCTTTTAGCTCCTTCGTGTGTGAAAGGTTGTATACTGGACTATATTTGATTGGGAAATTAGCACAGTCATCAGGCTCCACTATCCAGCATGTTGGGGAAAAAAATCATTTCACATAATTTACCCACATAGAAAATATATTAATTATTGAAACTTAACACTATTTTGAGGGAAACATAAAAATGCTTTATTGTAAACAGAACTAATTTTACACTTTATTTTACAGTGGCAACACTAACAGTCACCAATAATTATATTGTACATTCCATACCCTTCTCTATTTTGTCCCCCATTTTATATTATTGATTATGGATGTTTACTTTTGCCCTCTAATATCTGTAATATTTTGCTGATTTGGAAATAACTAACAGTCACATTAGTTCTGATGCTGTTCTTGTTTTGAGATATCCTTTTTGTGCCTCTAATTTTTTAGTATTTCAGTGGAAGGCCACAGTTAGAAAGAAGTCTTTACTTTGAGGCTAACTCTCTGTGTTGCTAATATACTGCCTGTGCACTGTCGTCTGCCCGCTACGGCGGGTGTGTGTGCTTTCTCATAATTCCTAACATGATACAGTTCAACCCAGAGAAAGTCAGTTGTCAGCTGTTTCAGAGCGGCTGCCCGTGGGGCTCCTTTTTCTGTTACATTAGTGAAAGAGTGAAAGGGAAAAAAACCCACCTAGAAATCACAGTAATAGTAAAGGAACTAGACAGAATCTTTTTATGGTGATTATTCAAATGTTTCTATTTGTATCCTACCCCCATTTCTCCTTTGTAGTCTTTAATCTGCATTGCAATATGATTGGTTAAAGAAGATAAGCAAATTAGTTTGGGCACTTTATCAACTCTAGGGAGGTCTTTGAGGGGAGAAAGGATTGGATATTTGAATAAAATGAAGTTTTTGAATTTTCGTTTATAATCCATAAGTACTATGGAAAGTTAAATTAGCTTGAAACATGTTTGTTTCTCTGCTGCTGGGCATCTCTCCCATATAAAACGTTCATGTGCTTCAGTTAGCATTCTGTATGTGAATCAGGAATAGGGGCCTGAGTCCGGAAAAGACAGGCAAGCTCTAGTGAGTTGATGAGCCATTTAATAAGAGAAAGTTGGTAACCAATTGCAAATTACATTTTAGTGTGTTTACTAGCACATTTAGATATTACTTTTATAATAATTTGGTCCTTCCAGTTTCTGCATATTATAGAGCTATATTAAAGATTAAGAGGAAATCAGAGTAGTCACGTGTCATTTCTGCTCCCTTTTAATTATCCAGGCAGCAGACTCCAGGAATGCTAGACGTTAAGGAAGTTGAGTGTATGTACCTCCTTCTCACCTATAGACTCAGCTGCTGTGGATCAGGGCAGGAAGAAGGCACGTAATGTGGAGTTCCCCTTCTAGTTCATATCTCTCAGAAGAAACCACAGTGTTTCCATGGTTGAATGGTGGTGTAGACCAGCACTTTAGAGACATGGGCGCCTGTCTTGGTGCTTCCTGAGTGCTTATATGACTGTAGGAAGCCTCAGTTTCCTCATCTGTAAAGGGTAGTGGCTAGACTGGGTGATTTCTTAGGTCCCTTTTAGCTCAAACATTCTATGATTCTGAGGTTATGATTTTGTGTGAAAACAAATAATACATATTAAATTAAAATGTAATAAATTATCTAGCGGATTCAGCCTGATAATCTGTATTTCTCTTTTCTTTCTTTTATAAAATTATATAGAACTGCTATGATCTTCTGGTGAGAAAGAAAAGACTCATTGTTCTCTTCAGCCACTGGTTACTTCATGCCTATGGAATAATCTCCATCTCCAGAGTGGATAAACTCGAGCAAGATTTACCCCTTCTGGCTTTGGTACCCACACCAGCCCTTTTTTACTTGTTCACAGCAAAATTTACTGAACCATCGCGGATACTCTCAGAAGGAGCCAATGGACACTAAATATAAAATGCCAAAAAAACCTAAGAAGTGTTCTTAATAAAAAAGTAAAGAAATAAAAAATGTATTAGTACTCTTCTCTCATACATGGGAATAAGATTGTCAATATATCTAATGTTTTTGGTTGTTTTTTTTTTTTTGATGTAATTGACTATGGTTGGACTTGAAAAGTACAAAATACCATACTACTCTGTTACATAGTATAATACACTATACACTTAGAGCACTATTAAATTACACTAGAAGCCTATTAGGAAGCACTTGCCTCTTGCAACAATTTAGTTATTCTTTAGTGCAAAATCATGTTTCTGTGTACCTAGCAATGTGGTGTTCCCGTTTTTATTAAAAACTTTAACAAGTATAAGCTGAAATCTTTAGCATTGGCATAATTGTGCATGCCCCTTATGTTCCAACTTGTTTTTCAAGTATAATGAATTATATGGACAAACATACTTGTGCGGTCTGAGAGCAAACGTGGAAATAAGTATGTTGTTTTTTATCTATTTATTTTCACCAATACAGTATTTTGATCTATTATAAAAATAGAACATAATTTATATAACAGGCCTTCTGTTTATAGGTAGTTTGGTTGAAGACATCTTCACATTATTCCTGTAAAGAAAACAATAAAAAGCTTAACTACAAAAAAATCTCAAATGTTCTGACATTTAATTGTATTTTGCCACATCACTTGTGGAAATAATTCAAAATATTAAGTATTAAGATTAGTGTCTCTCGGGCCGGCCCCCGTGGCTTAGAAGTTAAGTGCGCACGCTCTGCTGCTGGCGGCCTGGGTTCGGATCCCCGGTGCGCACTGACGCACCGCTTCTCTGGCCATGCTGAGGCCTCGTCCCACATACAGCAACTAGAAGGATGTGCAGCTGTGACATACAACTATCTAATGGGGCTTTGGGGAAAAAAAAAAAAAAGGAGGAGGATTGGCAATAGATGTTAGCTCAGAGCTGGTCTTCTTCAGCAAAAAGAGGAGGATTGGCATGGATGTTAGCTCAGAGCTGATCATCCTCACAAAAAAAAAAAAAGATTAGTGTCTCCTTCCCAAATGAATGAATACATGTACTCACATATTCCCTTCTACTTGTGTCTCATTTTTGGAGGATATATACATGTGCCATATTTTATTGATCCTGAGATGCTTTTTCACACTGTGATCTCTCTAAATTAGATGCACCTTACAATTGAAGGCTTCTTAGATTTAACGAGATACAGAATATATACAGCATGTAAACAGTTTTCCTGTGGTTGGTTTGTAATAGGATAGGGTGCTGTGATTTTTATGCTCTGAAGGCTTCAAGAGACTCATGGTTGCAATCATGGAAGCAAAAGATGTTTGCACTTAGTCTACTAATCTGACCACATTTACCCATTTGTATTGTTTAGAAGGTCATTCACTTATTTGCTCTTTGGTGGGGGTTGCACAAGTTTGTTAAATCTCAAGCTTTTAAGGCTTCCATTAACAGTTGCAAAATATGAAGGAAAGTGCACTCACTTTTTCTGTAGTTTTGTTTATGCCTTTTGAATTCACAGCAGTTGTATCCTTGAAGTTATTTTGTTAGTTTTTCTTTGTTAACATTTTTTTCATAGTACATTCAACCACTGGGAAATGGACTTTTTTGATACTCCTGTGTTTCTGGTTTTTTGCTGTAGGAATAAAAATAAAATGTTAAAATTGTATATATATCTCACACGGGTTTGGGTAATTCTTAGTGTCCATTAAAATTCTAAATTTCCCAAAGAATCCTCAACTGGACAACTGTAAAATCGTGGGAGAGAGGCTGGGGGTGGGGTCACATATCTGACTACCAGGACTGTATCTTCTTGTCCCACTACCTTGGGAGCTGTTTTAACAATTATCTTCCCCTCTGATGTCTTATTCTAGCAGAAAAATGTGTATGCAAAAGGAGAAATCATACAAGTAATATGATTACAAGTTCTGGAATGCAAATAACTTCAGGAATACTTAATACATATCTGCATTTTTAATTTGCTTAAGAACAAGACTAAAACAATTCATAGCAACTGTGGTTGCTAATGTTAGTAAATAATTTGTTAAAATGCGGTCATTAGAAATATACAAAAACAACCCTCGTCCTCCTCGCTCATACTTAGGTTCTTGTAGGTCCTCCTTGCTCATACTTAGGTTCTTGTAGTGCGTTACAACTCTCACTGCTACAGTGTATGGCAATTAGTCTGCTAACCAGTGCTAGATAGGTAATTTAAAAGTCAAACTATTTTCTTGATTAATTTGGGTCAACTGATAAATTTAAGAATTACATTTTATATATTTGTCTAAAACCATTGGTTTCTAAGACTTTGCTGTACATTGGAGTCAGCTAGAGAGAATTCTAAAAACATGCCTGGGTCCCACCCCAGAGATTAATGGTGAATTGGTCTGGGATGTAGGCTGAGCAGAGGGATTTTTAAAATCTCCAGGTGATTCTAATGTTCGAAAACCATGGTCTAAACTCTCTTCCTAGTTCAGATCTTAATTTTTCCAAGAAATCTTTTGACAATTTCTGAACAAATGATATTTTAAATTATTTCTTACAAAAATACAGAAATTTTGATTCTGCTTTAATAACAACTAGATTCTTTTCCAGAATTAACTGATCAAAATATAGATAATTCAAGTCCTTTTGCATCACAATAACAAAAAGATAACTTCAACAGATAGTTATACAAATTATTTGATCTTAAAATATCTCTTGGCCTAAAAAAAGTCTTCCGTAGAGCACATATTAAGATATTTGGTTGGTACACAAACTGTTTATCTGCAACCTGTTATATATAGTATGTGGTATAATACTCAGGGACTTGTGGAATTTTAAAACAACATTCTAATACTTAAAAAATAATTTTTTTTATTAATAAACCAGTTACTATTTGGTTTAGGTATATACTAAGAATTAACTTATTTACCTTTTGTTTACAAAAAAGAATGTTAAGGCAAAAAGTAATGATCTTAGTTTTCACGATGAAGCCTGGCATTTCACGTTCTTTCCCCCACTCTTGGCATTTGGAACCCCCACAAATGTCCACTTGGCCACGCTCTTGCAGTTCTGGGCCAGCTCACATCTGCTGTTCCTTCAGGAGGACGTCCCCATGTATTCCCAATACTCAAAAAGACGTAGAGCTGCCTCTTCACCCTCCTGTAGCCGCTCATCAGAAGGAGGCCACTGTATCCTAATCAGCGCCTCACTTGTCTGTTTCTCACAGTGTGTGTGCTTTGAGGTCCCGCGACTCGTGTTCAATTTAGCAACTGCAGCATTTGCTCCCGTGCCTGGCTCAGCGGTACTCAATGTTAACGCCGTCCTTGCAGCGATCCTGAAGGAGAGGCCCGGGACTCGCAGGGCTGCAGTGACACACAGTATCCAGAGGAGGGCAGGAGAGAGCTGTTGAGCTGGAACAGATACGGGCTTCTCTAGAAGTCCATCAGTGAGAGAAGCCATTCAACAGGGAAGATCCAAAACCTAGGAGATCACAGGTGGCTCAGAAATGGTCAAGTAACTCAAGGGACCCAAGTCTCCTCAGGAGGGCAGTAGATTTCAGGGATCTGATGAGTGCCTAATTTGGGTCTGATACTTTTTAACTCCTGTTAGTAATCATCCATATTTTACAACTGAGGAGTGCAGATTAAATGACACGTAAGAAGCAGAGCTGCGATTTGAGCCCAGGTCCACCTTCCTCCAAAGCCCACATAGTGCCAGTGCTCCAGGAGCGAAAGTGGAGTTAGGGAAGCAGAATCTTCCTTCAGCTCTCAGCTCCATTTCCCGACTCCTTAACTAGGTCAAGTCTCTCTCCACCTTAGGTTCTCTCATAGTCCTCATGCCCCACCTGTAAAATCCCTATGATAAGGGATTTTACACACATTTGTATGATACTTGATTCTCCCACTGTACAGGGGTGGGCAAACAACAGCCTGAGAGGCAATTCCGCTTCAATGGCCGACCTCAGTAGTTGCTACAGAGACCTTACGGCTGGCGAAGCCAAAAATATCATGGCCCTTTACAGTTTACCAACTTCTGTACTAGACTGTGAGTTCCATTTGGGCAGGGACTATATTTGTTTCCAGTCACCATTGTAACCCCAGAGCATAACATGGTACTTGGCACAGAATAGGCATTCAGTAAATACTTACTGAATTCAGTTTAGAGTTAATAGTGAAACATGGATGGGACCTAAAAACAGGAGGAATTTCAAGTATCAGTATGCCCAGCTAGGAACATTTCAGTGGCTGCAAATAGTACTGATTTTTTGTTGTTGTTGTTGAGGTCATAACAGTTTATAACATTGTGAAATTTCAGGTGTACGTTATTATTTGTCAGTCACCATATATATGTATCCCTTTACCCCATATGCCCACCCCCATCCCCCTTCCCCTCTGTTAACCACTAATCTGTTCTCTCTGTCCTTGTGTTAGTTTATCTTCCACATATGAGTGAAATCATACGGTGTTTATCTTTCTTTGTCTGGCTTATTTCGTTTAACATAATACCCTCAAGGTCCATCCATGTTGTTGCAAATGGGACGATTTTGTCTTTTTTTATGGCTGAGTAGTATTCCATTGTATATATATATACCACATCTTCTTTATCCAGTCATCAGTTGATGGGCACTTGGGTTGCTTCCACGTCTTGGCTATAATGAATAATGCTGCAATGAACATAGTGGGGCATAAGTCTCTTTGGATTGTTGATTTCAAGTTCTTTGGATAAATACCCAGTAGTGGGATACCTGAGTCGTATAGTATTTCTACTTTTAATTTTTTGAGAAATCTCCATACTGTTTTCCATAGTGGCTGCACCAGTTTGCATTCCCACCAGCAGTGAGTGAGGGTTCCCTTTTCTCCACATCCTCTCCAACATTTGTTGTTTGTTGTCTGGGTAATTACAGCCATTCTAACAGGTGTAAGGTGATATCTCATTGTAGTTTTGGTTTGCATTTCCCTGATGATTAGTGATATTGAACATCTTTTCATGTGCCTCTTGGCCATCTGTTTATCTTCTTTGGAAAAATGTCTGTTCATATCCTCTGTCCATTTTTTGATCAGGTTGTTTTTTTGTTGTTGAGTTAGTACTGATTTTTTAATTGAAATTCTTCCAATCAATAATCTATTGACTGAGAATATTTTCAGTAGGAATATATATTTTTTCTTACAAAGTTAAGTGACATTCTTTTCATTTTCAATGACAAAAGGAGAACATTTTTATTTTCCCCAGATTGGTCATTGGGTGACAGAGTGTTCATCGTGTGTGGCCCAGAACAAAAGTTGCCTCTTATCCTCTTATTTGTCTCAGCCCACGTGATCCTTGGGCTCTGCCATGTTGCCCAGAAAGCTTGCCCACTCTCTGAGGGACCAAAGGAGAATACGATTTCAGCATAGACACTAGTTCAGGGGTTGGCAAACCTTTTCTGTAAAATCTAGATAGAAGATATTTTAGTCTTGGCGAGTCACATGGTCTCTGTCACAGCTGCTCTGCCATTGCAGCAGAAAAGCAGCCATATGTGTGAACGAATGAGCACGGCTATGTGTCAATAAAACTTTCTCTGTGGCTATAGAAATTTGAATTTCATATAATTTTCTGGTGTCATGAAATATGATCCATTTGATTTTTTCCAACCATTTAAAAATATAAAAACCGTTCTTAGCTCCGGGCCTACAAGAACAGGAGGGGGAGGGTTTGGTGCCCACACTGTAGTTTATTGACCCCGCTGTAGACAACAGACCTGCCCAGGAATCTTCACAACCTTCTTAACATCTGGGAAAATGGGCAGCAACTGAGAATATGGGGAGGAGCTCAAAACTAAAAGGCTCCAAGCTTCAATTTCTCTATAGTTCTCATCAGTCTTTCTTTAAGGTCCCAGGTTTGGTTATATTAATGACAGCTTGACCAGAAACTGTGATCGTGGGAGATCTAGGACCCTTCACATATATCATGTGTCCCAATCATCTATACATTGTAAATTTGTATATATAAATATATTATGATATTATATGTACAATATTAACACAGACAAAAATAGAAATTTTAAAACATAACAAAATATTGAATACAAACAGAACTTTTAATATTTGCTTCCTGTGTGTGGATTGATCATCACACTCTACTTTGGAGATCCTTGATTGCTCTAGAATCCAGAATCTATGATCCAGAGTCTACATGAGAGCCTTGAACTACAGCTGGAAAAGTAGGAGAGTGCTCCACTGTGGTCAGGAGACAGCACGGAGGGCATCTGCGAGAACTGAGCCCTGGGGCTGGACTGTAGATCCAGCCACCCCGCTACTTGTCCAGATGGGAAAGTCTGAAAAGTAAACATTTTTTGTCTCATTTTACTAGTATTTATTGAGCACCTATTATGTGAGGCACTGTGCTACACACTGGAGCTAAACGGTGCACAAACAAAATCGTCCAGGCCTTCAGGGAGCTCATGATCTATTAGGACAGACAAAACACAAGCCAACAGAAAACAGATAACTGCTGATTGTAATAAGTACTCATAAGAAATAAAGAAATACATAGTGTGCTATGATTGAGAATAATGTAGATTGGAGGTTCTTGTGAGGTGTCTCTGAGGAGGTAACATTGCCAGTCTAGATCTGAGCACTGTGACCAGCTTCAATGTCAAGGGAAGAGTATTCTAGGCAGAGGCCAATGGGGTGAGAGGGTGTAATGCAGGAAGTCCTGCTTAAAGCACAATTGTTACTGATGATAAATATTTTCAACTGACTCATTAACTTTGGTTTCTGGAAAAAGGAGTAGACCAGATAATCCGAAAATCCTGGTAAACAGAGGGGTGTGTGTGTGTGTGTGTTGTCTGTGGGATTTTTTAATACTTTTTATACTTGCAATATTTCATAATAAATATTAACTGGAACTTGTTTCAGTGATCTAGAATAAGTGCACTTTAATTAAGAGTCATATATATTTACTTATATTACTGATTGCCTATCCAATGAACTTAAATTTTAATTAAATGACTATACCATTTGGATGGAATAAAAATGAATGGCACATAGTGGATTGTCCTATTATTTATTTTTATTTGGGTTTGTTTTCATTCAAAGCAACTATTACTCTATTATGAATACGATACTTTGAATTGAAAATGGAAGTAAAAATCGAAACCCTTTTGAGAGACTGAATAGACAAACTGACAACGGCCAGACCATATATGACAACAAAACTCTGACCCAGAACCTCTGTAATTGGCCCAGAACAGTCATAAGTATGTCAATGACTGCATTTTTCTTACTTTTTGACCCTTCTTCTAACTCAGGACCGACCAGAGGAGGCCAAATATGCTCACTAATCGATCACACAGGATGTCTTGCTTCTAATTAGCCTGCCACCAGCTTCCTACGCCAACAGCCTCCACTCAGAGCACAGCCTCCCTTTTCCTTCACAATCAACCTTTCCCACTCGACTGCCTGACTTCGCATTTCTGCCAAAAGCAAGTGATGGTGACTCTGACCCCGTGGCTATACCCAGCTCCACGTCTCTGCTTGTTCTCATTGGGTGGTCTTCCTTTATTTCCACACTGCACTTCTCTACTTTCCATAGGTCATCAATGAGACAGTCCTCAAAATACATGAAAAAGGGAATATGATATTGTTACCTAGAGGGCCTAGCTTTCCAATATAGTCTATTTAAATTTGTTACAACACAAAGATTCCCTCAGGTTTCAGACGAAAATGGAAGATTCGTTCATGTGAAAATAGTACAATTGACATTTAGAGATGAGTTAGCTCTTAACAGTGTTCTAGACCCACAGCTGCTGGGAATGGCCTAGCCTAGCAAAGAAGACGCGAAGCCGAGCAAGGCCCAGCAGGGACCCACCCACGCGGCACCTACACGTAATGAGTGTCGCCGGCTCCAGCAGGACTGCCCAGACAGCTTTTCAGCTGTTGTTTACCCACAGCGTGCTTCACTGGCCACCAAAACATCATTTCTTCTGTTGAGCAATACCCTCAGAACATTGGTTTTACCAAATATTGGAATGTTTTTAATCTTACTTTCTCTCATTTTACTTTTATTTTATCTCATTTTACTTCCTATAACCCACTTTTAAGATTGCTCATCTAATAATGGTGCTCTTTAAATTAAGTGCTCTTAATACCCTCTGACAGATCCGTACACTTGCCAGATGGTATTATCTTGATTTCGCCACTCCATCTCTCCCCTACACTCTATTCTCCTCCCTCCTCCCCAGCCCCCTCCACCTCCACCATGCCCCCTTCCCAAGGGATTCCACCGCTGGGCCCTCTGGGCTGTCCCTGTGCAAGGCTTCACCTGCATCTCTCCCTGTGGCCCTAATGTGGACTGTTCTGTGGCCCTCGTGTCTATCCTGACATCACGGGGGGATCGAGCGTGAAGCTGCTGCTTGCTCATGAGGCAGTCATGTTATATAGGGTGTGTTAACATCTCAGAAGCCCCAGAAGCCATCACTCGATTTTCAGAGAAGGCAAGAGTTGCTGGTTTTAACACTAACCTCAGTTCAAGAAGAAAAAATAAAATGTTTAATATCTTCTGCTTAAGAAAACAAGGAAGTGTATAAAAGAGTTTAAAAGACTTTTTTGGAAAATGTTTAAAATTAAGAGTTAAAAAAAATCAGAAAGAAGTTAAGATTCAGTTATGTAGAAAATTCACTTAGATGGAAGGTAGACTGTCCAACGCTGCTCCACTAGCATATTCAACCTCACAAATGAGAATCAACATTCAACTGAATGTTTGAGACATTATTGGGGATGCATTATTGGGGATAACTAAGTTATCTGGTTGGCACTTTTTTTTTTTTTTGATGTCACCAGCTTCAGTAACATAGCAAGAAGTTGTTTGTTACCCAAAGATCTTGAGACGTTACTTACGAGGAAGGTCCACCTGTGATTCCTGCTCCCTAAGAGAATGCAGCTCTTCAAGGTTCCCTTGTAACCAAGTACTAATACACTCCATTTTGTCGTCTCTTTCATACAGCTTGTGTATTAGATTTTTTATTTCTTGCAAGGTCTCATCACCACTGTCCACCAATTCCTTAAAAAAATAGCATTTTGGGGTGTGTGAATATAAATGGCAACAAAATAAAAAAAAAAATTCTGTCTGAGTGAATCATGTCCAAGACAAAAATATATACGCAGAATTGGTATTGGTCATGCGTAAGTGTATGTACACAGAAAATTCATGAAATTCTGTCAAAGATCTCAGAAAAATGAATTACCAAGTGAGAAGATTTAATGGAATGCTCATTGAACTCAAATTTTTTTCCAATGGCTAATATATTTTTTCAATTGAGATATAATTGACATATAACCTTAATTTCAGGTATAAAACATAATGATTTGATATTTGTATATATTGCAAAATGATCACAAGTCTAGTTAATATCCATCATTACACAGGTACAAATTTGTTTTCCTGTGATGAGAACTTTTAAGATCTACTCTCACAGCAACTTTTAAACATACTATACAGTATTATTAACTATAGTCACCACACTGTACATTACATCCCCAGGACTTGTTTATTTTATAGTTGGAAGTTTGTACCTTTTGACCCCCTTCACCCATTTCACCTACCCCCCACCCCCTGCCTCTTGCAATCTGTTCTCTGTATCTATGAGTGAACTCAAATTTTTAACTGGGTAAGATGGTGGTGGTGGCATAAAAAGCCAACTCACCTTCTTAGCAGCATAGGAGAGGAGAGAGAGCAGCAGAGGAGATTCAGCATGGCTTAAAGCTTAAGAGAAAGAACTCTGGAATCAGGCTGAATGCGAGTTTTAAATCCTCATAAATTCATTAACTGTCTGGTCTTGGGCAAGTCACTTACACTCTCTGAGCCTCAGTAGCCTCATCTGAAAAAGGCATTACTAACACTTTCTTGTCCAGTGTTTTAAGGTTAAACCAGGATCATATATAAACTTGAAATAATTAGTAAGTGGCAGAGCCAGGATTTAAACTCCTGCCTACCTGCCTCTAAATGGGGGAGGCGTGGAGATGTTGCACACCTCGTAAAACATGGAGGGTGGATGGAGTTCAGGACTGACTTTGCCCTAAAACAATCTGTGTCCAATTTGTGCTTGCAAAAAAAAGTCATTTCCACTTTAACTGAAGTGGTAGAGGGGGAAGACAGTTTCCCAAAGGATTTAGGTTTCATAGTGACATTTGGCACTGTTAAAAATAGGACAACAGGCCAAAATGGAGTCACTTGTGCTAAGCTTCACATCATCAAACCAAGAACTAACCTAATTGCCGTTTTGGCTCTCCCAGAAATGAAGTCTTAAACCAGCCAATCAGGAATCGTCTGATCAGCACTAGTGAGGTCACCTGCCTGATAGACCCCTGCTGTCCCCTAAAGGAAAGCAACCTTGCAATAACCAACCTGCTTTTTTGCCTATAACTTCCTTGTTCCTGCTCCCTCCTGCCTAAAAAGTCTCTCATTTCGTACAGCTCCTCAGAGCTCCTTCCTATCTGCTAGCTTACATGCTGCCCGACTCATGAATTGTTGAATAAAGCCAATAAGATATTTAAAATTTACTCAGTTGAATTTTGTTTTTTCACAGCACAAAGGACACATTTTAGGATATGACAGTCATACCAGCTCTATCACTCCCCCACAATCCTGACCGCCCACCTTATGCACCACTGTGCACACACACACACGCGCACACACACACACACTTATTAGGTAGGTGAATATATTTTAGAAATATGATACCTACGGAGGCAACAAAAAAACTCACCTTAACAGTGGTCTGAAATTCAGTCCACAAATCCAAATATTGTGCTAAAATAAAGATGTTTAAAATACAAAGATTAATGAAAATCATTTGAACATTTTTATAAAAGAAATGCTATTCGCTTTTCAGAAATTATTTTCATCTAAAAATTTCTACTTCCAAAATGACAGAATAACTGGATTGCACTTGCTCTCCCACTGTAAACAAGCAGAAAATGGAAGAAAATATATTAAATAAATGTACTTGTTTTAATATCCAGTTTTCAGGGACTGGAGAATGGCAGCCCAGGACTGTGATACCTGACAGAAGGGCAACAAATGAGGGGAGTCCTACAATCATTGGCTTTCTGCCGGGGGCACTTTCCAGACCAGAGTGCATGCAGATCAAGGCAGATACACAGACACAGAAATCTGTACAAAGATTAGCAAACTGAATCCAGCAAAATATAAAAACAATTACAGCTTTTGAACAAGGGGGTTTTATCCCAGGAATGGAAAATTGGTTTAACACTCAAAATCAGTGCAATTTACCATACCAACCGCGTAAAGGAGAAACCCCGGAGCATCTGAGCAGATGCTTGAGTAGCCAGGGTCAGTCACACTGCACTGCGTGCCTACGTGACTCCCCAGGGGCGCCCTGGGTGGAGCACTGTGGATTTATATCTCATCCCTAGTCACAGAAAGCACATCAATGGTTTCCAGGAACTGGAGGTAGGCTGGGAAATCAACTACAAAGTGACACGAGGGAAATTTTTCAGTGATGACCATGTTCTATATCTTGCTTGTGGTGGTAGTGCTTACAGTGGGATGTACATTTGTCAAAACTCATCGAGCTTAAGATGGGTGCATTTTATTGTATGCAAATCAGTAAAATTGTTTTAAACAAAACAAAAACTTTATTTTTATATGTAAAGATTTGTCATGACACATTACTTACTCTGATGAGTTATCAGTTCCCACGACAGGTCACTTGAGGCGGACGTGAGGGCTTCTTCTCCTGTTCTATACTGCTCTGTGTTGTTCTTCAGGTACGCAATATACTGGAAATTAAAGGCATGTGATTGCTTGAAGCAGTTTAGTTACGATAGGTTAACTATCCACGCAGTCATTCAGCAAACCTTTACTCCTCTGTGCCACTGCCTCAACTAGGTGCGAGGATAATGGGGAGCAGAGCTCTTGTCGAGCTCACCTTCTGGGAAAGGTGACAGAGGATCCTGCTTTCTGCATTTCAGCCGGGGACACCCAAATAAACACGGCATTTTGAAGATAATTTGCCACAAAAAGAAATCAAAGGTATTCTCCTAAATGCATTGTGTCCGCAAAAAAAATGTTCCTTATGCAAAGTGCGTGTGCAGCCCACATCAAAAGGGAGCAGTGCTGCCCACCTGGAGGAGTTCAGCTTAAGACCTCAGAGAGAGGGTTTATCGAGTCAGGACACCCACGGAATTGTTCACTCTAGTTGGTTGTTTCATTGGGTTGGGTGATGGTGGTGGCAGTGGTTTGGGTACTAAAGTCATGGTTTCTGTTCTGACCATCCAATGCTCAGGAACTCTCAACTCCTGGGAACTCTAAAAGTATAGGCTTTGGGATGTAAACTTGACACTGGTCCAGTTTCAAGAGAGAAATAATCAAATACTAGAAACTACCAATAAGAATCTTAGAAATGGTGTCCAGTACCACAGGAGGAGGAGACCTGGAACTGTTTATAAGCACATGTTATAGGGTCCACTCATGCAGCCTTGATCTGGTGTCAGGCTTTGCATGGCTTGTTGGCAGGTTGTGTAATAAACCAAAGTGAAAGCCCAGTCCAAGGCATCATTCTCGCCCCTCTTTGAATGTGGATTCCTGTTTGTAGACTTGCCTAATTCAGCTGGCCTCCCATAACTCTCTGACTACCCTCTCTCAGCCTCCCTTTTGGTCTCCTCTTCTACCGTTGACTCTTTCAAAGTCCTCTTTCTCCAGAGCTCTGTTCACAGCTCACTGTTCTCATTCAACACACCGTCCCTGAGGCACCGCATCCCTCCCCAGGTGTAAATCCTACCTCTATGCTAATGGCACTCAGCCAGACTTGTGCCTGAGCTCTTCACGTGGTGTGGTTAGGTGCTCTTGCTCTGGGTTACTCTATGTGCCCTGGGCAGATTGTTAACCTTCACACTCCGAATTGTAATTGTCCATTTATATGCCCATCTCCTCAGCTGGACTGTGAGCTTCCTAAGGGCTTGGGGCAGTGTCTTATCCATCTCTGTATTCACTGTGCCTTCCCCAGGGCCTGGCACTCAGTGGGTGCTTAAAATGTTTGTTGAATGAAAAGACATGATCAGCAAAACAGAGAGTGGTGAGTGAAAAAGATAACAGCACAAGGTCATCCGGGGGCTAGGAGATGGACATTGAATCCAAAACCAGAACGTTCAGAATCAGTCTTTCACATAATCAGTCATCCATTTGCTCACCCAGTGCCAAAACAGCAATAAAAATTCCAATTAGTTTAATCAATAATCTACATCATCTTGATAGGAAGACAGTCTAGTGGAGCATTTCTTTATGTGGACAAAATTCCTTACCAGGTTGTTTCAAGGGTGAGGAGAAGGAAGATGTGTTGCACGTGTGCGGGTTATTGATGGTACCTGGGCTCTGTGGAGCACAGTTACCTTTACAAAGTACATTAGTACCTCTTATGACATTTTTATTCTTCCAAAAAATCATGATATCAGTGGGATAATTGTTGCCATTTAGCCAACGCAAAAAAATTACCCAGACAGGTAAAGGGATTTTCCCTTTACTTAAAGTCTTATTGCTATAGGACTGTTTTTATTTTTCTAGCTATTAAAAATTCTAAAAAAATGTAGAGACTCAATTTTCTCATCTATAAAAGGGACATAATACGTTATCCACATTAGCAGGTATTCTGAGCATCAAATGGCACTGAATCCGTCTTACATGTGAGGCATTGTGCAAAACACTTGGGATACGTTGATACAGAGCTTAACCTTGAGGTCATTACAGTTTACTGAAAAAAACGATATTTTTAAAATTGCATTTTTTTTGCACTTTCAGTTTACAAAGAAGTCACATCTACCCTATGGGATAGGAGTTATTCCCATTTTAAGAGGACAAAAATGAAGCTCACAAGTTAAGTCATCTGCCCAAAGTCACAAAGGGTCACTGGTGAATGACAGACTCTAACACAAGTCTTTGAAGCTAGTGGACATTATATAAACTTTTATTGTTTTGTTATAGAATATGAAGTATGGAAATATATACACTTTTTAAAAACATATACCTTTGGTTGCGACAGTTCTGGGCATTAAAGATCATTGGCATATGAATATCTAATTATTAAACATAACATTTTAAAACATTAAAATAAGTAAATCTTAAGTATAAATAAGTAAAACAATCTTTTGAGATTAAGTTGAGACTTTAATTTTAGGAATTGGATGAACAAATTCCTTTACTATAAAAAGAGCTACAATCAATATGAAATAGATAACCTAATTTTTAAAATGGGCAAAGACTTGAACAGGCACTTCACAGAGAGGGTGTCTAAGCGGCCAAAAACATATGAATGGGTGTTGCATTACTCACAGGAAAATGCAAATTAAAACCACAATGGGACACCACTACACACCCTCCAAAACGGTTAAATTGAAAAAGACCAAATTTTGGTAAGAATGTAACAACCGGCACTCTCATATACTACCACTGGGAGTGGCAATTATTGCAGCGTCTTCGGGAGACTGGCGCTGTGCACTCAAGTGGGCGATACACATCCCTATGGCTCTGCGATTCCACTTGAGACATATACCCAAGAGAAACATGTACATATGTTCACCAAAAAACATGCACTAGAATGTTCATAGAGACACTATTTGTAATAGCCCCTGGTAGAAACTCTCTAAACCCCCATCCACAGTGGGGTGTAGTATAGTCATACAATGGAATACCATGCAGAGCTAAGAATGAACAAACCGTAACTGCACACAACAACAAGGATGAACGTCGCAAACATAGGGTTGAGCAAAAGAGTGCATATTGTATCGTTCCATACATATAATGTTCAAAAACAGGAAAAATTAGTCTGGAGTGTTAGAAGTCAGTATGGTGTTACCCTTGCAGGAGGTCAGAGACGGGGAGGGACATAGCAGATATCTGGATACTTTAACGCTCTGTTTCTTGATCTGGGGTGCTGGTTATCCAGGCATGTTCATTAATCTGTATACCTACGATATGGGCACTTTTCTGTATGTACTTTAAGCTACATGTAAAAAGTTTAAGAGCTATTCTCTCCTTTTCTCTCATAACTATTACAGTTCTAGGCAATCAGCCAAAACCATTGTGCAAAGTGAAGTGTTCTTGAACTTACTTCTTTTAATCTTTTATTTTCCAGGAGCAAAACTTCTACTTTCAGGTCATGTGCATAGATTTCATTTTCTAAGTTCTTTAGAATTTCAAAATGGTTTTTGATTTTACAGCTTTCTTGATCTCGTAATTGTTTTAATTCTTGCTTCACTTTATCCTGCAAACATAAAACCCACAATTACCTCACAGAGCTCAATGAGCAGGGCATCAGTGTGTCACAGTACCTGGACCACATGCAGAGAGGGCTTCTAAATCACTCTTGAGCGTCAGCACAGACTAGGAATACCTTCCTTTAGAAAAACTTCATGTTAAAATCCAAAGCTGATTCGTGGAACTTTATTCATGGACTCTGGGAAGTGGGCCCATGAATCCAAAATTAGGATCCCAAGCTAAATTTTTGACACAACTTCACAAAATAGAATATACTTTGATATATGAACAATTGTCTGGCAAAAACAGGGAGGTGGGGAGTGGAATTTGTTGAGGCTTTTTCAGGGAGGATTTAATACTTCTTGAAGGAAGAAGAATATTACTTTATGGATTTTCCAGAATTCTCGACTGTTTTCTCTACTGAATTCTCGATTCAGTTCTTAGTTATTATACTGTTATAAATCACACAATCTTTATTCATTGTATAAGAGCACTAGCATCTTATTAAGAAAATAGAATTGCATATATAGTACATTTACTTGTAGTTTTTCCTTTCACGTTTCTCTACACCCATATGTTAAAAGTTACTTTTGATATCAGTGCATCTCAAAGAATAGAATGTTTCCATTTTTAATTAACCAATTCCACATTCATATGTTTCTCATTAACTATTGATTATAAATTTTAAAAAGGTAGTAAACGTCTCTTGCTCCCATTTCATCCACTCTCTCCCCAACCCTGCAATCTCTGCTAACTTACCCTTGTCTTCATAGGAATTTACCAGAATAACCGGTCTGAAAAGAACCTTAGAAAGTATAATCCAATCTCTACCTTATGAATAAGGAAACTGAGGTCCCCCCCAATGATTTTCCCACAGTTACATGTTAGTTACTTCTAGAGTCTCTTTCTCTCTCTACATATATACATATATATATATGTGCACACACATATACATATACACGTATATATGTATGTAGTGTATATATATATGCATGCTGTGATTAAAATTTCAAAACATTGATATTAAAAGCGTAAGTTTAATAAATGTGGATCTCCTGAAAACTCCAATGGTGCCAGTATTCTAACAAAAGAAAGATGAATGAAAGCATTGACTCTTTACCATGTTGTTCAAGTATCTTGAAAAGTCCCTTGCCAATTGAGAAATGTAACCATTCAGTAAATTCTGCTCCTGCTTTTGTGCTATAAAAAAAAGAGAGAAAAAAATGACTACCCACAATGTTCTTTAGTTAAAAAAACATTAATCAAAATAAGACATGTGCCTGGTTTTAAAAGTCCAATACGGCTTCTAACAAAAACCAGCAGTCAGGTTTAATGGGGCATCCACCCTGTGTTTGATTCCCCAGAATCAACCATTTTTAACTTATTTTAGCTTTTTCTTCTTTAATTTTCTTTTAAAAAAACCATTTAAAAAATGGCTTTATGGCTATTTCTTGATTCATCATTTTAAGACATTTTCTATTTACTTCCTAATGCAGTAAAGGAGGACATGGCATGTACTCTCACCCCCACACCCCCACCCCCACCCACAACTTCCAGGTTTTTTCCCTCTAACTTCCCCATCAAGTAGTGGTTTTTGTTTAAATAAATTTTAACTGTTTAGATCATTGTGACAATGTAAATATTATGTACTGATGAGACAAATGGTGTAGTATGATTATATTTCCTTTCTTGTATAATTTTTTGTTTTTCCTGGAGTTAAAAATTGCCTCACTTTTTAAAAATTTGCTTAGTTTTCCATGTACATATCATTAATTTATATCAAAATCTATAACAGAATTGTAAAATCTTTCTGAATATTACTTCCCACATCATCAAACACCCTAATTAATCTATCCGTTCCATTTCTCTACCCCCTACCCCTACCCCTTGCCCTCTGTACTCATTTTTCTTTAGGCCTGCTGCACAGCTGACCTCCTGGGGCTTCCTTTTGCGTCTCTCTTATATTGGACCTTCTGTTTCCTGAATCTCATATCCTCCTCTTCTTCTTGATTTATTCCATTTGTTGAAGTAAATTTTGTGCTAGCTTCCTGAGATAGAGTAAATGAGATATTCTGAGATCTTGTATATCTAAATATATCTCTATTCTAAACTTATACTTGACGGGGCCGGCCCCATGGCTTAGCGGTTGGGTGCTCGCGCTCCGCTGCTGGCGGCCTGGGTTCAGATCCCGGGCGAGCACCGACGCACCGCTTCTCCGGCCATGCTGAGGCCATGTCCCACATACAGCAACTAGCAGGATGTGCAACTACGACATACAACTATCTACTGGGGCTTTGGGGGAAAAAAAGGAGGAGGATTGGCAATAGATGTTAGCTCAGAGCCAGTCTTCCTCAGCAAAAAGAGGAGGATTAGCATGGATGTTAGCTCAGG